GAAAAGGAAAGTGAGAAAGCACACCCCATGGGAATGGCTACATCACAAATCCTCCATTTCGCCTTTTGGGAATTTGAACATGCATGCTCACATGCCCAATGTGTTTCTCAAGCACCTGGCCCAGGACTTGAACCACCTAATGGTTCATGGGAGATTCAGATACCTCAACCACCATGCCACCAGTTGGCCCTACACCCATTTTTTAATTAAGTTAAGAAACAGAACATGGATAGTGTAATTTCTCCCCAAATTAAAAAAAAAAGTGATAAAACCACTATTTTACATAAATATGTATAAATATTATATATATATATATGTCTTATATATAATATGTATATGTGATTTGAAGGCATTAAAAACTCTGGAAAGACAGATACCAAATGTTAATAATGTTTCCCCTGGGAAATAAAACTATAGTGAAGGATAGAAGGGAGAAAAAGACATCCCCTTTCTTTTTATTTTTTTTTTATGAGCATGGGTTACTTTTATAATTTGAAACTTTTCAGCTTAACAAATACAATTACAATGTATACTGCAAAAAGGAAATGTTTTTTTTTTCTTTTTTTCTTTTTTTTAAATCGTGCACTCGCCGAGAGAGAGAGAGAGAGAGAGAGAGAGAGAGAGAGAGAGAGAGACTCGATGGCGCACTCCTCCAGCCTCCATAGGTTTTTGCCATAGGGCGGGCGTCACCACGCCCCAAAAAGGAAAAGTACTGAAAGTCCTTACTGAAATGAGGGTTAGGGACTGGCATTCAATATCAAATAGATTATCAAATACAGGAGGATGGGATGAAAAACAATTAAACTATGCCAAACAATAGATTACGTAAAGAGAAATAAAAACATGTTCAGGGGTTAGCAGGTGATGTGGTAGTTAACGCACTGGACTACCATATAGTCAACTGAGGTTCAAATCCTGGACCTGGAAGCTTGAAACACATGCTGGGTATGCATGCGTGCATAGCCAAAATTCCAGGACAAGAATGGAGGAAAGGAGATTGTGTCATGGGCATCGTCCCCAGGAGTGACTTTTTCACTTTCTCTCTCACTGTCTCTCTCTACCGCTCTCTGGCAAGTACATGCACTCTGTGGCAAAAAGCCTTAAAAAAAAAAAAGAACATATTGTTCTGAGGTTGCATTTGATAATTAGATATAGGTTTAAAGCTCTCTTTGAAACTCTTTACGATGTAACTGAACTGGTAGAATTAAAAGCAGAATTCAGCTCCCTTCCACATTACTGCAGCAGATAATAACAAACGAAACATTCGATACATGTAAAATAAGAACAAAAAGGAAGAAGGAAAGGAAAATAAATATTTCAAAAATAAATACAGTAAGTGAAAAAAAGAAAGAGCTAAGGTAGTCAATATACATAAGAGTTCAAATTATAGCATCACTGGGAACCAGCAGTTAGAGTAATGGCTATGTCGCTGGACTCCCATGTAGTCGACTGCGGTTCGCGTCCCGGACCCGGTAGCTTAAAACTCAAGCCGGGCGCGTGTGCGTGCGTGCCCAAGATCCCTAGAGGAGAATGGAGGAGAAGGGATTGCGGCGTGACCATCCCCTCTAGGGGGTGATTTCTTGCTTTCTGTCTCTATGTCTCTCTCTGTCTGTCTGGCGAGTACACACGCCCTATAGCAAAAAAAACTCTCAAAAAAATAAATAAAAAATTAAAAAAATTATAGCATCACTATGTGCCCGGTTCTGTGCTAAACACTGCAGACAGCAGAATCAGCCTGCAATTCTTTCTGGCTGTTATGTTTAAAACAAGGCTAATCCCTGAAGAGAGCTCTATGCAGTTAACAACAAGTGTCTTGGTTAGAAACCTTGAAGAAAGGAAGCTAGGTGAGATGAATTAGTTTGTGGTGCATCTGGGGTGTTGAAGATCACAGGCCCTTATTGTGAGCCTGACATGTCCTGGGGGGCAGCAGAGAACCTCCAGATCCACATGTCAAGAGAATAGGAAGGTAGTCTAGCACCGGATAAGCACAATCTTCCCTACCTCCTGGACTTAGGCACCATCCCAAGAATGAGGCAAGTGTGGAGGGGCAGGAAAGCCAAGATAGTCTTTGTCTGATAGTTGAGAAGAATGAGGAGGTAATAGTCAAAAATTAAGTTTTGAAAATGATGTAACATTTCTTGCAAGTCTAAATTTTTGGACTGAGATTCATATTGTCTATACATAGTCTCCTCATTTGATTCTCTACAATTTTATTATCTTCATTTTACAGATGAGGAAAAAGGTTTCTTAAGGTTAATTGTCCTGAGGTCATAAAACTAGTAAGTAAAACTAGAACTCAAATTCGGGTCTACCTTGCACTGAAGGCTTGCTAGCTATTATTCTCTGCAGCCTGGAATATGTTTTGTCTTCTCTCTACCACCTGCACCCAATTCATACTCCCAAAAGTTGTTAAGTTAGGAGCCATCCCTTCTTCTAGGAAGCCACTATTGAGGGTCCCCTTGTTAGGTCTCCTTTAGTACCCTAACTTCATCTGTATCACAGACCATGATGTATTACATTTTTATTGCCAGAGGGCACAAGTGCTCACCAGAGAGAGAGAAAAAGAGAGAAAGCACCTCCAATGGGGCATAGTTACACTGCAATCCTTTTCCTCCATTTCCCCAACCTATAAGTATTTTGGGCACAAGTACATGTCAATGGCATTTTTTGCTATAGGGGGGGTGCAGCTCACCAGAGAGACAGAAAGACACAGAAAGAGAAATCACCTCCAAGGGGAAAATGGCCATGTTGCAATCCCTTCTCCTCCATTCTCCTCTTGGGATTTTGGGTATGAGTTTCAAGCTACCAGGTTCAGAACTCAAACTGTGGTCAACCACGTAGGGGTCCAACACCTTAACCACTTCGCTACCTGCTGATTCCAACAGGGCACGTTTTTTAAGCCAAGAGCTGAGACTCAGCTCTCTACACAAGGTTTAATCACCAGGCTAAGGGGCCCACTGACTACGTGAAATTATGATCCCTGTACATGTTGTCTTCCACTAGACAGTGAACTCTGAGAGCAGGAATTACCCACCTGTAGCGCCTGACATATAGTGTCTAGTTCTACACCAGAAGACTATCACTTGCAGTTGATTATTTACCTCACTAAACTCTGAATTTCATAAGATCAACAATACATATAGCTTTATGCACCATTAAATCATCGTAGCCTAAAACAGTCCCTGGCACAGATTAGTTTTTCAATAAATATTTCGAAAGAATGAATGAATAATTCAGTAAGTAACCTCCTCTATTTACTGTGACTCTGAGTCACATTCCAAGAATAAGCATTTTCTTGGGACCAGCAGTTAGCGTAATGGCTATGTCGCTGGACTCCCATGTAGTGGACCATGGTTCGTGTCCCAGATCCAGTGACTCAAAACTCACGCCGGGCACGTGTGCATGTGTGCGTGCGTGCCCAAGATCCCAGGAAGAGAATGGAGGAGAAGGGATTGCAGCGTGGCCATCCCCCCTGGGGTGATTTCTCACTGTCTCTCAGCTTCTCTCTGTCTGTCCGGTGAGCGCAGGCACCCTATAGCAAAAACCTCTCCAAAAAAAAAAAAAAAAGGAGTTTCTTGACGTCCCCCCCCCTTTTTTTGAATTATCTAGTATTTGAAATTATTTGTACACTCGAACATTGTTAAAGTCATCATTATTCTCCATTTTCATCCTTACGTTCAGGTGGAACAAGATCTCCACAATCTGGAAGTGTGAGATTTTTTACATAGCCTTGGATTTATCCTATTGCATACTGCTAGTGAATACTTTCAATCTCTCTGGCTTTGGCTAAGTGCCAGAAGGTTGTGAATCAGGTGGAATCTAAGGATGAAGTGAATAGTTCGCCTCTAGTTGACAAGCTTGCTTTTCTGTGGGATAATCGTGTTAAAGCCACACGTTCCTAGGTGTGACCCTGTAGCGACAAAATCTCCTTGCTGAGAACGATTACATATTTGACTAATGAAATTAAAAGTGTATGATAATATGAGATGAAATAGTATTTGCCAGTCAAGGATGTGACCTTTTAAAAATAAGTAGAATATATGCCCTCATTCAATAAACGAAAAAGCATATCTCCAAATTCCCTTCCTAGCGGTTTGCCTGGACTGACAACCCCACGGACAAAGGCGCGGACCGAAGTCCTGCGGACCAGCGTCTGCAGCGAAAGCACTCACCCGGGGGGGGGAGCCCCGGGACCCGAAGGCGGAGGGGGCGTGGTCGGGGCGGATCTAGGCGGAGGGGGCGGGGCCGCAGAGGGCGAGAGGCAGTCTGGGAAGCGGCGCCATATTGGCGTCGGCCGCGCTGTATTGTCATAAATAGAGCCGGTTTTGTGGTGTTTCCACTACTCAGTTGGATGCCTCGGCCACAGTAAGTGAGAAAGTGAACGGGCCAGCGAGCTACCAGCGACCAGAGCACAGTGGACAAGGGGAAAAGGGAAGAGCAAGAACAGGACTCCAAAGCGAAAGACACTTGCTGAGGAGGGAGACGCAGGAAGCGATGAAAGAGATGTCTGCGTAAGTGGTGGGGGGCGGCGGTTGGGGGCGAGGCGGAGAAGGGTGGGTTGGAGTGGTCAGCCCCAGGCCTGGCTTCGGTTTCTTTCCCCCTCGCGCCCTTCCTGCAGTTTGTCCCGGGGGTCTTCCCTTTCTCCGCTCCCGGCCGGACCGCAAGGGCATCTCCCCTACACCCGGAGACTCACCTAGCCACCTCTGCACAGACTCGGGGACTCCCGGAGTCCTCATCTGTCCCCGGCGGTCCCGCCTCTGAGAACGCCCCCAGACAAGGCTGCAGAGGGAGAGAGGCGCGTGTGTCTGGGGAGAAATGGTCGGTCACTCTCCTGCCCCCAGCACTGTCTGAGCCCGTCTGCTCCTGTCTGCATTGGCGCAAATACCATTCCCCTGCCTCCCCCTCCTCCCTTCCCGACCGGCTGTCTCCAGGTCGTCAGGAGTGAATGACCTATCCCGGCTCGTGGGTTTCTCTTTAATAAAGAGTAGGTCTTTTCGCCGAAGCCGCCACCCTCCAGCCTCCCCACCTACCACAATGTCTACCGGTCTTTACCTCCTGTTCACACTTTGATAAGTCAGACATAGTTTCCATCGTTGTCAAGATCTTGTGGTAGCTTCTTATATTTTGGTACATTGGGAAATAATTCAAATGTCAGAAAAATGCACAGAATAACCTAAGCCATCGTTTGTATAGACACCACCCATTTCTCCCAAAGCATAATATATGTATATGTGTGTGTGTGTAGGGGTAGGTGTGTACACATATATATGACTTCTTTATTTAAAAGTAATAAAACATTCCAAATACATCTGAAGGACTCTCCATCCTCCTTCTCTAGTCCCATTCATTCCCCTTCCCAGAGGTCCCCACAGTCCTTAATTTGATGTTTATTACTGCATGCTTTTTAAATGCTATTACTACATATGCATCTGCCCATAACGACTGGCATTGTTTTACTTGTTTTTATAGTTTATGTAACTACAATAGTATCATGTCATTCTGCAACCTGCATGTTTAGTGCAACATGGTATCTTTGAGCTTTGTCCAATATTTGTTAATATTTTCAGTCTTAGTTAATTTATATTAACTACTGTGTTGTATTTTATTGTAGGGATACAACTTAATTTAGTCCTTTTCTTGTTAGTGACTATTTCAAGTTCTGCATAAAGTTTTTAATGTTACAGTATAGCAGCGAACATTCTTTTGCATCTCCTTGTACTTTTGTTCCAGAAATTCTCTAGCCTGTAAATGAAATTGGTGGATGGAAGGGAATGTGGGATTCTGTTGTTTACCACCACCCCCCACCCCACCCCCAGCTGAAAGAGGTTCAGAATCCTAGATTTGGGCTAGTGGAGAGCTAGAGAGCTGACTTTTTCATCATACAAAGTGAGACCCTGTATCATAGTTGGTGTCAGAACTGAAGTAGTTTTGGAAGGGAGAATGGAGTGGTGGGAAAAGATTGGGGACTTAAGATTCAGGCACTTCTTTCTTTGAACTTTAGGTACTTACCTCTAAAATGGCACTTGTTCATTACCTACTTCTCAGGGTTATTGTCGAGATCAACTGAATGATCATGTGTCAAGAATCATTCTGTCTCATCCATTTACAGTATATACACACAAAAATATCAAAATACCTGTCTAATTCACTAAGAGGTAAAAATTTTAAAATCTCTGGGAACTAGCAGTTAGCGTAATGGCTATGTCACTGGACTCCCATATAGTCGATGGCAGTTCGCGTCCCGGACCCGGTGGCTTAAAATTCACGCCGGGTGCGTGTGCGTGCGTGCCCAAGATCCCGAGAGGAGAATGGAGGAGAAGGGATTGTGGCGTGACCATCTCCCCGGGGGGTGATTTCTCGCTTTCTGTCTCTATGTCTCTCTCTGTCTGGCGAGCACATGTGCCCTATAGCAAAAAAAATCTCTCCCCCCCAAAAAAATTAAAAATCTCTAAAAAGAAATTACAACTTGAAATAACCAGTTATGTTTGTTCCAAGAAAATAAATACTAGAAAGAAATTAAAGTAGCTAGTATTGATGTTTCCCTTTTGTTTATTTGAGTCACTGTGGAAAGTATATAGGCTATTTTATCTTCTACTTGACTCTCCCTCTTTTCCTACCTCATGAAATCTTTATCCAATGAGCATGTCTTACTCTGAGATTAGTGGTGATAAACCAGTGTTTTGACCCATTAAAATCCAAGAATAATTCAACAACCACTTTTATAGTTGTGTGTGTTATATTTTTACAGGGATTATTTATTCAATTCATAAGATTCCTTTTTCTGTCTTTTTGTTATAGGACTCGTGCTCTCAAAGGAGACAGAGAGGGAAAGTGAGAAATCTACCTCCAAGGGGAATGGCCATACCGCAGTTCCTTCTGCTTCATTCTCTTGGGATTTTTGGCATACACTCACATTTCCCCAGCATGTTTTTCAAGCCATCAGGTTAGGGACTCAAACCATGCAATTGGCCACATGGGATTCAGCGATTCAGCTGCCTTAGCCTCCATGCCACAGGCTGGCCCAAAGATTGCATTTTATTTATTTACTTTTGTAAAGTTTGTTTCTTTCATGAGAGAAATGAGACAGAGACAGAAACAGACAGGTACCCACATTGCAATCCCCCAGCCTTTCCAGTCATCCAAAGTTACTTCTGGTATGTTGCTCCTGACACATTCCTGGCATATCACTCTTGGATCAACCTGAGATCTGAACAGGGGCCTTGCCATTTGACTCCAGTATTGAGCAGCAGCACCCTACTGCCTGCATTGTAGCAGCTGTGCATGTTGAGATTTTATTCTTACTGTGGGTGTTAATACCCCTTCACAAAAGCATGGTAAAGATAGATGGTTAGGGTTATTTGGTTAGTGTGTTTGTTTTTACTTTACTTTAATGGCAAAATAAAAAGTTTTACTTATCCCTCTTGGTCTCAAATTTTATTTTGAAATTATTGGCCTGTGTCAACCCAGAAATTGTGTTGCACTTTAGTTAAGATTAATGTCCTAATAGCTAGTGTCTTTGGAAGGTAGTTTGTATTGTGTCCCATAAAAAAGGTCGCCATTTAAGGGAACCAGCAGTTAGCATAATGGCTATGTCGCTGGCCTCCCACGTAGTCGACCGCGGTTTGCATCCCGGACCCGGTGGCTTAAAACTCACGCCAGGCGCATGTGCATGTGTGCCCAAGATACCAAGAGGATAATGGAGAAGGGATTGTGGCATGACCATCCCCCCTGGGGGGGTGATTTCTCGCTTTCTGTCTGACTGTCTGTCTGGCGAGTGCACGCACCCTATAGCGAAAACCTCTCCAAAAAAAAAAGAAAAAAGATTGCCATTTAGTGTAAATAACTGGATAATTATTTAGTGTGAAAATGATATGGGTACCAGTCTAAAATGTACAGAACAATTAACTGAGTTATAAAATTTTAAGAGGATAAACTCTGATCCACATAAAGGATACTAATATAGGTTTCCTAAGGACAAATCTAATTGTGATTTCTTCTTAAAAGCCAGATTATTTCACAAGGACTTCTAATGGGATGTTTTGTTTCTTTGGGGGGTGGGAAGAGGCATTGTTTCACTAAGACCTTTTTTTTTTTCAAGTGGTTGCCTGCTTTTGAAAGGTTCCAGAATCTGGATGGTACTTGACTGGAGCCTGCAGGGTGTAGTGGAGGTAGCTCTGGCACAGGTCCCATTCTGACTCTTTGCATTTGAGCTGAGTGGTGTTAGTACAGTTGTCCTGATGCCAGCACTTGCTGCTTTTGGCGTGAAAAGACATCCTAACCATGAAGGCTGAAGCAGTATGAATAGCCCTTCATAAACATAGACACAAAATACCCATTTTTCCATTAAAAACAAGTGTCTGCCCTTACTGTTAGTACTTAGTAAACTTTTACCATGAGTGGTTTGAGGGATTCAGTATTTCAATGTAACGTGGAGCTTGAAAATTTTTTGCTATTTTCTATTTCTTAAACAGAAATACCATGCTGGATAGCCAGCGTCAACAAAAGCATTACGGAATTACCTCTCCAATTAGTTTGGCATGTCCTAAGGAAATCGATCATATTTATACACAGAAATTAATTGATGCCATGAAACCATTTGGGGTCTTTGAAGATGAGGAAGAACTGAACCACAGGTATGTCACTGAAAAACATAAAAAATATGTTATAGTACATTATTTAATCTTTAATTCTCAGATATATATTGAATACTCACTGTGTCCCTTCTAGGGGCACAGAAATCACACACACACAAAATTTTGGCCTTGCTGGAGTTTATATTTTAGGTGAAAGTTAAAGGAAGAGACTAACAATAAGCCAAATAAGTAAAATAAATACAGTATTACACCTGGTAAGTACCACTAAGAAAAATAAAATGGAGGTAGAGTTTTCCAGGGAAGGCCTTATTGAGAAAGTGACATCTAAGAGAAAATTCGGAGGGGGAGGGGGGAGCCATGTGGACGTTTGAGAGAAGAGTGTTCTAGGCAGAAGGCCTGTGGTAGAAGTGTATCTGCTGTGTTTGAAGAGTACATAGCAAAATAACCTGGGTGTCTGAGCAGAATGAGTAAGCAGGGGAAAACTGGCTTAAAGAATGGGAGGTGGGCAAAGGCTTAGAGGGCAAGGATACTTAGGACCTTGTAAGTCATCATCAAGGCTTGGCTTTATGCTGAGTGAACTAGAAAGCTGTTAGGGTTTTGAGTGGAAGATCGAGATGCTCTGACTCTTGTTTTAACAGTCACTTGGACTGCTATATCAAGGATAGTACAAAGAGGGATGCAAGGTAAGAAACAGACTAGTTAGGCTATTAATGGGTTGTCAGGAAAGCCATGAAGCATTTTTGCATAGAAAAAGAAAAATATATGATGACTTTCCTGACAACCTAATACAATAACCATAATAATCCTAGAGGGAATCATGGTGGCTGGAACCTGGAGGATGGCAGTGAAGGTGGTACAAATTAGTAGGATTCTGGAGGTATTTTAAAGTAGGGTTGTCAGAGTTTCATAACTAGATTGTGAGAGAGAGATGTCAAAACTAATGCCAAGGTATTTAGTCTCAACACCTTGAAGGTTGATGTTCCATTATCTGGAGAAGACTGAGGGAGAAACAGGTTTTAACAGATCAAGAGTTTTTTCATGTGTTGTCTTTGGAATACCTAAAACCTAATTTTCTTTTTTAAATGTAAATATGCTTATGTAATTGGTTTCAAGTTTATTTAAACAATACCTAACTTTTTTTTTCTGGAGAGAGATTTTTGCTATAGGGTGCATGTGTTTGCCGAAAACAGAGACAGAAAGACAGAAAGCAAGAAATCACCCCCAGGGAGGATTGCCACTCTGCAATCCCTCTCAGGATTTTGGGCATGCATACACACGCACCTGGCGTGAGTTTTAAGCCGCCAGTCCAGGACTCGAACTGCAGATGACTATGTGGGAGTCCAACAACATAACCATTATGCCATCTACTGGTCCCAATACCTAATTATTAAGTAGAAATATTTCACAAAAATTAGGCACTAAGTAATTTGCCTATTTTAATTATTATCCAAAGGCATATTACGCAATGGAAGAATATTAGTCTCTATTGTTACACCAAATAGATTTAATTCCATTGTAAGTCCAAGAAAATTGACGATTCAGTTGGCCTTCACAGCCTCATTAAAGGTAATTATATGATTTTTGGTTAGGCTTTTTGAATTTTGAAAATAGCTAAAGATAAATACTATTATCACATTTGTCATATCTTCAGCATTCTTAGGAATCTGAGAGGTGTGCCTTGTAGCAATAGATGTTACAGCATTACCGTATGTATAATATACTGTTACCTTATCATGATGTCAGCAGTACACCCTATATGTTTGTTTATTTAACATTATTTGGTTTTTGTTGTTTGGTTTTAGTTTGTTTTAGTTTTCATCTAAAGCATGTTAATTTTTATTTTAGGCTGGTTGTTCTTGGCAAATTGAACAATTTAGTAAAAGAGTGGATTTCTGATGTCAGTGAGAGTAAGGTAAGACTCTAAACCACATGAAATTCTTACATTTTGGCAGTAAGGTACAGGAATTGAGAATTATCTGAAATATGTAATAACTTGACTTTCTGGTATACTTGGGAATGAATTGGTCTACACAGTGATATTTCTAAATAGAAGAGGATTTGCCCCAGGGGTTGGCCAATACATTTACAAGTCAATGTAAATGTCTTGTTCGGCCCATGTGTAAGGGTCCGAATTTTAAATATCAGGAGATTTTACTTACAAAACTTAATTTCAGATTAACTATGAGATATCAGATATGGCAATACTGGGCCTGCATTTGTACACAGCTGGAAGAGGTTTGAATGGGACTTGGCTCCAACCTGCCAGTCTCTTCTCTTCCAGTCCAACCATTCTGTTTTCTCTGATGCCATGATTGCCATTTATTAGTTTCTGTGTTTCTCATGAAAGATTCTCTTGTTTACATACTGGCTGACCCTTGAGACATCAGAGTTCACAAACTACTTTGTAACTACACAACTTTTTTTCTCTTGTAGTATAGTATTGTTTCTTTCTGAAATTGATTACCTTTTTTCTCCTTTTTTAGAATATTTTTAATATAATTGAGTTTTCATTATTGTCTTAGAATCATCCTGTGAATACACTATGGCTGCACTAAAGCATGTTCAACTTAGTGGTAACTGTTCACATCTTCACTAAGTGGCCTAGACTATTGTATTTTAAATGTTTATTCTTTATCATTTTTAAAAAGAGGAAGTAACAAAAATAATAATATATGGATACTTTTTTAATTTGCTAGAGGGTATGTGCACTTGTAAGAGAAACACATGGGTTGGGGGAGGGTGGCAAGATGGAGCAGTGAGAAATCACCCCCTGTGGGGAATGGTTACTCTACAATTCCTTCTTCATTTCTCCTTTTGGGATTTTGGACACACATACACATTCACTCGACAATATGTTTCTCAAGCTGCCAGGTCTGGGACTCAAACTGCACAGGCAGTCACATGGGATCCAGCTATCTTAACTACCATGCCACTGACGGCCTCCTCCTCACTGCCCTGCCTTTTCTTGAATTTTTGCCAGAGCTTGCATGTGCTCACAAGAGAGAAGGAGGGAGAGGGAAAATGACAAAACATCCCTCATGGGGCATTGTCATGCCACAGTCCCTTTTCCACTTCTCTCTTCTGTTGGGATATAGGGCGCTCATGCACTCACACCCAGCGTGTTACTGAATCCAGTCCAGGACTTGAACCACGCAGTTCGTCATGTGGGACCCAGATGCTTTAACCACTATACCATGGGCTGCCCCTAGATACTTTTATTCAAATTAATCAGATATTATATAGAACACTTGTACTTGGCTTTATGAGTAAATATGGAGACGTGGTAGATACAGCTCTCGCCTTTGAGGCCCTTAAATATGGTTGAAGAGATGAGTCATTTAAAAAGAATCAATAAATGTAGTAAAAAAAGAATTTAAAGATTATAATGGTAGAGGGACACAGAGGAAAAAGAACTTGTTATGAAGAGATTATAATCAGAGAAGGCTTCATGGAAAAGGTACAACTTGAAGTGAACTTTGAAAAATGGATGCTTTTAATAAGGGACTCAAGGATGGAGAAGTATTTGAGGCAGGGACAATGCTAAATACAGTGGAGGGGGTGGAGTGAAGTGTTGGCATTTGGAGCTTCAGAAAGGAAGAAAAGGAGACAAGGTAAGAAAGATCAAAGGGAATGTATTATGGAGACTTTGAATAGAAGACTAGAATGCTTACTTCAAGATTCCTTGGCAGAAAAGTGCATTGGCAAGTTTTGAACAGAAGAGCTACATAGAATTTTAAAAGTGTGGGGACAGTAAGTGGCGTGGTAGTCAAGGCGCTGGATGCTCCCATGTGGCCCACTGCGTTTGAGTCCCAGACCTGGTGGCTTGCTTTCTAACTTTCTCTCTCTCTCTCTCTCTCTCTGAGTCTCTTTCTGGTCAAATTAAAATAAATTAATGAATAAAAAAAGAGCTATATAATAGATTAATTTAAGAACATCAGCCAGAGAATTTTATCTAACATAGAATAAGAGAAAAAAGATTTTTCTCTTGAACAATGGGGTAAAAAGGGTAACTTAGGATACTATTAAATAGCCTAGAACTGGGGACTAGTTGTATAGAAAGGAGGCAACACACCTGAGGAATATAAACTGAGACATGGTAAGCAGCGATGAGTAATCGTGAATATGTGTTTGGGTGGTAGGGATAATGAAGAATAGAGAGATCAGAAGGGATACCTGGTTCTTAGGAAGAATTTTTTGTTTGAGGCATGGATATTGAAGTGGATCAGGTTGTCTTTAGTGAAAATATCTGATAGTTGGAACTGGCTCTAGAAAGAGGTGAAAACAGTATTTTAATTATAGTACAAGGAAATGTTGATTAAAGTTGTTAGATTAGCTGTTATAAGGGCATTATGTCAAGAATGACCCCACTTTCTTACAGAAAGATTGTACAACTAGAATAAAGAAATAAAGCATCTCTGTCACAGAAACAAAAAGGATATGACTAGCCTGTCTGTCATCATGTAAAGAGCTGAAGGCACCTTAATTCAGTAGTTAGGAGCTCTGTGGTGACTGTTGAGAGAGGTGCAGCCAAGAACAGGCGGTTGGAGGGGGCAAATAGACCAGTAGGGTCTCGTGATAAAAAATGTTTTTCATAAGAGAAGATGTTTAGTCTTCCCTCTGGGAACACCCTCATTACTTCAAATACAGAACTTTTACAAATCTTGTCATACCAAGGTTGACAAATATATAGTTAAGAAGGGCTGGTAGGTGACTCAGAAGTTAAGGAGGCTGGATCCCGCATGGCCAACTGAGAGGTTTGAGTCTCGGACCTGGCTGCTTGAAAAACATGCTAAGTGTGTGTTTGTGCATATGAGTGCCCAAAATCCCAAGAGTAGAATGGAAGAGAAGGGATTGTGGCTCGGCCATCCACCCCTGAGAGGGTGGTTTCTCACTTTCCCCCTTTCTCTTCACGAGCATGTGTGTCCTATATCAAACTAAATGGGGAAAAAAACAGACGGTAAGAACTTAGGTGATTATCATGCTAAATAATTTGTATAGTTGAATGCCTTTTGCTTAATTTTATTTTAATTTTAGAATCTTCCACCTTCTGTTGTGGCTACTGTTGGTGGTAAAATTTTTACGTTTGGATCCTACAGGCTTGGAGTACACACCAAAGGTAATTTTTTCTATATGTTCTAGGGCTAAGAACTTTGAATAACAAACTCGTTGTCATTCATACTTACAAAGTGCAAAAGAACAAAATTCCCATCATCTCACTACTTGGAGCTAATCATTGTTAACATTTTCTTATACTCATCTGCTGTACTTTCTACTGTACATAAGTTTTTGTGTGTTTTAACAAATATAGCACATAATACATGCTTTTTGATAAATACTTTGGTTTGTAGGAGCTGACATTGATGCACTTTGTGTAGCTCCAAGACATGTGGAAAGATCTGATTTTTTTCAATCTTTTTTTGAAAAATTAAAACATCAAGATGGCATCAGAAACTTAAGAGTAAGTATTCTCTGGCATTTGCCATTTTGAACTTGATAGCAAATAGTTGTAAAAGCTAAAGCTGATGATTCTTTCTCCTAAGAAGTAGTTGTATCTTATTGAAGTAGCATAATGATTAAGAACATAGGCTGTTTAGTTATTATATAAATGCTGGTTTACCTCTAGAATCTACCACTTATTAGCTTTTAAACATCGATCAAGTTAACAGTTCTCTCTGAGCCTGTTTCTTCATAGGTAAAATGGGGATGTGGTGATTAATTTTTATAAGATATTTTTGGGAACTGATGAGATAATTCACATAAACTATTTATGCTGCATCTCACATGGTGGGTGCTATTATAAGTAAAGTTTGGATAATAATGCTTTTAAAAATATATCTAGGGGCTAGCAGATGGTGTATTGATTACATTGCTGGACTCTCACATAATTTGAGTCCCAGCCTAGTGGCTTTAAAATCATGCTGGGCATGTGTATGTGTATGCCCAAAACCCTAAGAGGAGAATGGAGGAGAAGGAATTGGGGTGTGGCCATCCCCCTGGGGGGGGTGGGGGTGATTTCTCACTTTCCCTTTCACTGTCTCTGTCTCGGTGAGCACACAGGCCCTAAGGCAAAAATGTCTTTAAAAAAAAGAAAGTATCTTTCTAGCCATTCACTCAGCAAATAAGATTTTAGGCCTGAGACCAGCAGATGGGCTTAATGGTTAGTCAGTGGACTCCCTTGTACTTGACCACTGTTCAAGTTCAAGGACCAGTGGCTTAAACCTTACACTGGGTACATGTGCATTTGTGCCCAAAATCCTGAGAGGAGAGTGGAGGAGAAGGGATTGCAGCGCAGCCATCCCCCGGGGGGAGGGGTGTGATAACTTGCTTTCCATCACTATCTCTGGTGAGTGCATGCACCGTATAGCAACAAAAATTTTCAAAAAAAAATTTAGCACTAATAATTTGTCAGACAGTGGCCTTGGCCCTACAAATAAAATAGTGGACAAGGTATTGTTTATTGCCAAAGAGGTTAGGGAATAAATAAACAAAATGGAGTTTTAATGCAATCTGAAGTACTGGGATAAGGCAAAATAAAATTCAAAGGATTTGTAATACATGGAAATCTCAGAATGTTTTCGGACAAGAAAATTAAGACTTTGTTAGGTTTGAGGACTTAAGAAAGTCTCAGAAGACAAATTTCCCCTAGATTCATCTAAATTATATTGGCTATATTACTTTGAAAGATCAGTCATGAGCTCTGATTACTTTTTAGTCCCTAATGATAGTCTTCTTTCTATCAATAAATACAGTTTTCCATTTAGGCTCAAGAAATGCTCAAGACCCATATGATAGCAGTTCTGCCTTCCAATTTCTGCTATTTATTTTTAGGAAGATAGTAAATTAAATAACAACTGCCATAGGCATTTTATGTCTCTTAAATAATACGGGTCACAAAGTAAAAGGACTTATCTAGAAGATTGAGACCAAGAACATTTTTCACTTTTTCTGTTGAGTTAATATACAGCTGGAAATTGTTCGTAATTGTTCCCTCTTTTGTAGGCTGTAGAAGATGCATTTGTACCTGTTATAAAATTTGAATTTGATGGTATTGAAGTAAGTGTTTAATATTTTTCTGACTTTATAATTGAAGTGTTTAACCCCTAAATTTTATGTTTTGTTTTTAAATCAAACATAGGTACATATTTTTTTCAAATATTTTTTAAATCATTCCTTATCTTCCTCTATGATATTCCTATTAATATTTCTCACCATGAAAAATGCATCAACCTCTATCCTTACCTTTATGGCTTTTATATATACCCTTCTTACTTCTGTGATCTCCTAAAAATAATTGTATTATCATTTTTTTATTATCCTGGTATTTTATCTTGATGTTTTCTTTTGCTGCTCTCCAGTGTTTTCTTCTTTCTTCACTTAGTGTTTTAGTGGAGCTCATCCTGAGAAAGAGCACTTTTTTTGGTATCTTGCATGTTTAAAAACATCTTTGTTCTGAGCCAGCTGGTGGCTTTGATGATTAAGGTGGCTGAATCCCACATGGCCGACCACACAGTTTGAGTCCTGGGCTGGTGGCTTGTAAAACACAACAGCTGTGTGTAAATGCATGCCCAAAATCCCAAGAGGAGAATGGAGGAGTAGGGTCTGTGACTTGGCCAATCTCCCCCGGAGAGGGGGTGATTTCTCACTTTCCCTCTCTCTCTCTGTCTCCGGCGAGTGCACGTACCTGTTCCAAAACTGAAGAAACAACTTTATTCTGTCCTTACTCTAATTTTATCATTTGAGTGTAATAAGCAGTCTAGGTAGGAAACTATTTTTTCTTAGAATTTTGAAGGCCTTTCTTCATTGTCTTCTACTTTCCATGCTGTGTTAAACTTTGATGCTACTGGATTCAGTTATTCTTTCTATATGACTAGTTTTGTCTCTTTGGAAGCTTACATTGTTTTTTGGTTTTGTTTTCATAATTGTAAATTTATGATAATATACTTTGGTATGTGTCTTTTCAACCAGTGTGCTAGGCGGTTAGTAGTACTCTTTCAGTTTTGATACTCCTGGCCTAGCTGCAGCAGTACACACTAAGACCCTATGCTCTATAGACTGGGATATGGGAGGCCTGGATTTAATTCCTGGCCTAGCCTAAAAACCAGATATGGGAGCTTGCACCTGTGGTCCCAGCTACTCGGGAGGCTGAGGCAGGAGGATGAGCGCCAAGCTGACCTGAGCTACATAGTGACACCCTGTCTAATAGAGCCAGGTGTGGTGGTGCACATCTGTGGTCCCAAACGGGAAGCTGAAGCAGGATGGTGACACAGCAAAACCCTGTCTAAAATACTAAGATAAAATAAGATAATAAAAAATTTAGAAACTCTTGTGTCCTTCAGTTCTTGGATATTTTATTAAATGCTATTGGATTTTCTGCCTTTGCTTTCTTTTTTTATTTTTCCTGGAATCTTATTTGCATATTAGAGCTCTACTACTGCCTTTTTTTTTTTTTTTTTTCCCTTCCAGCTTAAGTACATTTTCATGTTTTTGTTCTGTTTTGGGGGGTTTTCTCAGTTTTAAAACTTTCTATTTTTTTCATTTTTGCTGTCATATTTTTAATTTCTGAGAATACTTTTTTATTAGCTAATGTTCTTTTTTAATGTATGTATGTATTTACAGCTCTTGTCCTTATTTTCTGGATATAACAGTTTTTATATGCTTTCTTAGGTTTACTGAGTCTGTTAACTTGTTCTGTCTAGTAGGTCTTTGGGAATGTCATGATGCATTTTCTATACAAAATTGCATCATGACTTTCCTGACAACCCAGTACTTTCTAGCCTTTATATTTGCTGTCGTCATCTTTTGTTCTCTTTTAACCTAGTGGGTTGTGCCTTTAAAATAAAAATAAAAATAAATAAAAAACAAAGTGAAATTTTCCTGGCATTGTAGTGGGGTTTTAAGAGGAAGTGATGTAAATGTGTGTTGGATCTTCCATATTTACCTAGAAATACACTTACAAGGTTTTGATGGGGTTTTTTTGTTTTTCTAATGGTTGGCACATGTGCTAAAATTAAAATATTTAATTTAACATTTTAATTACCTTAACAAACTTCATGGTGATTTTCCCATGTGAGATTGCCTACATAGGCCTTTTGAAGTTTTGATAGAACTTTTAATATTTTTGATGTGGGATGGGGGAGGATGGATTAGAAGGAGAAAAAGTAATATTTTTCTCTTTTTGCATCTTTCCAAAGATTGATCTAGTCTTTGCAAGACTGGCAATACAAACCATATCAGATAATTTAGATCTAAGAGACGACTCTCGCCTGAGAAGCCTTGATATAAGGTGTATTCGCAGCTTAAATGGTAAGCTTCTAAAAAGAAATCTCAGATACCTGCATAAAACAATTAGACAAATAGAGATCTTTCGCAGAATTGACTATTAATGGACTTTTTTAGAGGTTTAACTCAGTTAAAAATGGTGTAATTTTTGAGCCAACCATTGGTGTGGTGGTTAAAGCAGCTGGATCTTACATGGCCAGCTTTATTGCTCAAGTTCCAGACCCAATGGCTTGAAAAGATGACAGGTGTATGTGTGTGCATGCCCAAAATCCTAAGAGGAGAATGAAGGGGAGAAGGGATGGCAGGCCAGCGGATGGCAGACCAGCAGATGGCTTAATGGCAAGGGGTTGCTTTCTCACTCCCCCCTCACTTCCCGTCCAATGAGCATGTGTGCTCTATTGTGATGGTGTTTTTTAAAGATGTGCTTTTCTTTATATAGATAATGCAGCATATTTAAGCATGCTAAAAAAAAACACAGATTTATTACAAAGGTTGTTTATGGTAGTGGTTCGCAAACTTACTGGTGTAAGGATCCTTTACATTTTTAGATTAATTTAGGACCCCCAAAGAGCTTTTGTTTATGTGGATTACATCTGTCAATATTACCATGTTACAAATAAAGCCCAATAAATTTAATTTTAAACTATATGTTAGCTCATTTACAAATAATAATAAAGCTGTTATAAGTTAATATAAATACATTTTTGTGTAAAGGATTTTTTTGCATTTGTGTAAATCTCTTTCATATTTAATACAAGACAGCTAGAGCCTCATTTACTTCTACAATCTGATATAGAACAACACCAAATTTTGTTGTTGGTGGTGTTAACATGTAGAAAGAAAATCTGACTTCTTAGATACATGTAGTTGGAAAAGAGAAAAATGTTTTAATAGCCTTTTCAAATGTTCGTATTCTTTAATACTACAGCAAAACTTGACCACTGAAAATTTCTGTTTTGTTTCTGATACTTTATTCAGGTATAATCACGTACCATAAAAATTCATCCTTTCTAGGTATACAATTCAATGACCTTTGGTATATTCACAGATTTAGCTGTAATCCAATTTAAAACCTTTCATTACTCTCAAAAAGATCCCTCATACTCATTTGCAGTCATTCCCTATTTCAACCCTCAGTCCCAGGCAACCACTGATCTACTTTTTGTCTCTATAGATTTGTATTTTCTTGATATTTCATATAAATGGAATCATATAATATGTGGTCATTTGTGTCTGACTTCTTTCACTTAGCGTATGTTTGTAAAGTTCATCCATGTTTGTAGTTCGTTCCTTTATTATTGTTGAATGGTGATAATATCATAAAGGGTAATTAGAATATAGAATCTAAAATTCTATCAGTGAACTTTTTTTTAAAGAGAGATTTTTGCTATAGGGTATGTGTGTTTACTAGAGAGACAGAGAGAGACAGAAAGCAAGAAATTACCTCCTGGGGGGATGGCCATGCTGCAGTCCCTTCTTTTCCACTCTACTCTCAGAATTTTAGGCATGCATGCATGCACACACGCCTGGTGTGAGTTTTAAGCCAGGTCTGGTACTCAGACTGTGGTTGACTACATGGGAGTCCAGCAACATAACCATTATACTATCTATTGGTCCCATCAATGAACTTTTTATGCTTCATTACATTAAAATCTGTTGGTCTGTCTTGTTTGAATGGATTTTTTACTCATGGGTGATTTTATACTATCATGCCTTGTTGTTTGGAAACTCTTGGTTCACAAGGTTATTTGGGTCTTCCAAATGCTAATACACATTTCATTATAAAGTGAAAGAAAATTCATTCATTAATACAATGACCAGTTTTATCAGAAAAGTCTTCTTAGGTACTGGAAAGTTGTCAAGCTCACAGTAATAGATATAGATTGTCCAAAATTCTAATTTAATGTGAAAAACCTAAATTTTATTATTGGCAACAATTTTTGCCATTTGTTATCTTTGCAGTGAAGGGTTTGGTTCTTTTTTTTTTTTTTTTTAAGGAAATGTCTGCTGAATAACCCCAACTGTGAATAATATAGCTTTGTTTTTGTTCTGACCTTGTTTTTATTTGCTAGAGGACATGTGCACTTTGCTATAGAAACAGAGACAAGGAGAGGAAGAAAATATTCTTTCCCCAGTGGGGCATGGTTATGCCACAGTCCCTTCTCTTCTTTTTTTTTGAGAGGTTTTCGCTATAAGGCACATGCACTCACCAGACAGACAGAGAGAGACATAGAGACAGAAAGCGAGAAATCACCCCCCAGAGGGGATGGTCATGCCGCAATCCCTTCTCCTCCATTCTCCTCTTGGGATCTTGGGCACGCACACACACGTGCCCGGCGTGAGTTTTAAGCCACCAGGTCCAGGACGCAAACCGCAGTCGACTACGTGGGAGTCCAGCGACATAGCCATTACGCTAACTCCTGGTTCCCTCTCCTCCGCCTCTTTATCCTGTCAGGATTTGGGGCATGCACACAAATGCCTACCATATTTTTCAAGCTCCCTGGTCTGGGATTTGAGCCACAGTTGGCCTTGTGGGATCTGGTGCCTTTAACCACTAGGCTATGGGGCTGGCCCATAGTTTTCTGTCCACGTATTTCTTGAAAAAAAGTGGTTGATCTTACAGCTAATCCTCGCATGTTCCTTTCCCTTTTTTAAAATACGTGTATGTGTTGGGAGATATCTCTACCAGTACAGTTGTCACCACTGTCATGATTCATTACCAAGGTACCAGCAGTTTCATCCTCCATTATTTTTGCTCCATTTGGGCAAATATTAACACAGGAAAAAAAAAAAGCCTTAATATTATAAAACCAGGTTTGACCTCACAGATTCCCAGGGGTCAACAGACCCAACCTGGAGAACCACTGATTTATAGTGTCTTTTTTTTTTTTTTCTAAACTTAATCATCACACTTTGCAGTACTTCTGGAGTGTAATGTTAAATCACAGTTATTTGCAGGTAAAGGTGTTTGCATTGAAACAATAACAGTTTTATAACTTGGAGGCATTTAATTAACAAAGTCAAATGTGGAAGAAAACTAAAAAAAACTCACCTCCAGCTCTTGTAATATTGGATTGCATTCCTCCTGTACTTTTCAGTTCTTTAAAAGCAACATGATTTCTTACTAAGTGCTAAATTTCAAAGACATGGAAAAAATAAATATTATCTTTCATTTTTTAGCATTTGAAAGTCTAGAAGTTAGAAAGGCTTTTGAGCTAACCAGGTTGTGTTACATAGTGAAAAATACTTTGTCTTTTTCAGGATGTAGAGTTACTGATGAAATTTTGCATTTAGTGCCAAATAAAGAAACATTTAGACTCACTCTCAGAGCAGTCAAATTATGGGCAAAACGTAAGTATCTTACGTCTTCTGTTTATTTTATAAAATTCGAATTTTTTTTTCCAATGACTAAAACACATCTGGAAACTGAGCCTGTTCTCACTATGGGGGATTAAAAGCCATTAAACTTTGGAATAACTGTTGGTTTTTCAGGTGTAATGATAATAATTTTCTAATGTATAACTCCTCTTCCTTCTCCCTTGGTTGAAAACTAAAGGCGTCCTGAGTTTTTCCATTTAGATTTTAACCAGGTAGTCAGAATTAAGTCAGAACTTGAAGGCTGAAATTCTCACTGGTATTTGAGCTCTCTGTGGCCAGGACCATCTCTCTCATCTTTGTATCATTCACCACCAGCAAAGTCTAGTCTAGTAGGTGTTCAATAAATGTATTAAATGAGGAACTCACAGTGATGGTTATAACTTTATTTATAACACTTTTCTAATAAAGCTCAAACTGCACTATTTAGTATGTATAAAATATGGTTCACAAAATGCCCTTTGTTTAGTCTTGAGCTGGCACAGAACATTCTATATTATTTGAAATTATATTTAAGAAGCACTGCACTTGAGGCAGCCAGTGACACAGTAGTTAGGGCAGCTGGACCCCACATGGCCAACTGTGCAGTTCAGCCAACTGCCAGTCCTGGCAACGTGAAAAATATTTTGCGCATAAGTGCATGCAAAATACCAAGAGGACAATGGAGGAAATGTATTGCAGCATGGTCATCTCTCCTGGTGGGTGCTTTCTTGCTTTCCTTCTCTTTCTCTCTGCCTCTCTTCAGAGAGCACATGCTTCCTATAGCAAATAAATAAAAATGCTGTACTTTGGCACCAAGTTTTGCATAGTCTAAAGCTGTGCTGTTAAATGCTACAGGTATGTGGCTGTGGAGCACTTGCAGTAGTCAAATTTTAAAATGTATTTTTCATGTCAGTAAATTTTAAAAGTAAATAGTGTCTATGAGGAGTGAAAACATATTCACACAAAAACTTATACACACATTCTTAGCATTGTCATTTATAATATCCAAAAGGTGAAAACAACCATTTGTCCATGAAATGGTGGATGAGTAAATAAAAGGTGGTATATCCGTATTGTAGAATATTATTTGCCAATACAAAGGAATGCAATACTGTTGTATGTTACAATATCTATAAACCGTAAAACAATTATGTTAAGTAAAGGTGGCCAGACATCAGAAGGCTACATGTGGTATGATTCCATTTATGTGAAACGTCCATAGTAGGTGAATCTGTAGAGACAGAAAGTAGGTCTGTGAAGACTAGAGGGTGAGAGATATAATGATGAATGGTTTCTTTTGGGGGTGATGAAATGTTCCAGAACTGATTATGAACAGCATTCTAAGATTGATGGTGATGTTTGCACAACTCAGTATACTAGAAGCCATTGACTTGTGTACTTTGCATGGATGAATTTTATGGTATGTGAATTGTATCTCAATAAAGCTATTATGAAAAAATATTAAATAACCACATGTAGCTTGTGGCTACCTCATTGGGCCATACAGGTTCCAAAAGTAAAATTTGTTCTTGGGCTCCCACATCTTGTATAGTCAGGATAAAGTATTTTGCAGGGAGGGACCAGCAGTTGGTGTAATGGCTATGTTGCTGGACTCCCATGTAGTCAATCGTGGCTCCAGTCCCAGAAATCGGGGGCTTAAATGCCAGATGCATGTGCATGCGTGCTCAAGATCCCAAGAGGAGAATGGAGAAGGGATTGCAGCATGGCCATCCCCCGGGGGGTGATTTCTTACTTTCTGTCTCTGTCTCTCTCTGTGTTTCTGGTGAGCACAAGCGCCCTACAGCACAAAACCTTTCCTCCCAAAAAAGTATTTTGCAGTGAAGGGATGAAATGAATAATTTGACTTTACAGATTAAATGTCAAGGTTTGGAAATTTTCTTTCTTTCTTTTTTTTAAATTTGCTAGAGAGAGAGAGAGAGAAAGCACCTCTAGCACCTTCATGAGAATGGTCATACCACAATCTTTATTCTCTTTTGAGATTTTGGGCATACACACATATATACCTGGCTTGTTTCTCAAGCTGGGTCCAGGGCTCAAACCGTACAGCCCACCATGTGGGATCCAGCCACCTTAACCACCATGCTACTACTGGCTGTTCTGTTTTCAGTTCTCAGAGACGTACTCTTTTTACATTTACCATGTCTAAAATTAGTAATTTGTGATTTTTCCTTTATGTTGCTTAGTGAAACGTAAAATAGACTGCTGTAAGAAACAGTCATATGAGAAATGAGTAATGTTAATAATATATTCTACTTTTTAGAGAGGTATCCAAATTCTACAAAAATACTAAAATTAGTCCCAAACTTTACACTTGATTTTTAAATACCCTTGAACAAAATTACTAATGAAATGTTCATTCTTCCCTACTTATATACCCTCTAGGTCTTTTCCCTCCTCCCTTATTCCTCTCTTAACCTTAAACTTTGAAAATGGAGAATGTAAACATATCATTAGAGCCCAGTTCTGTAGTTGGAACTGAGGCAGAGAACTAAGATGTCTGAATTAGAGGGCAGAGCAGGGACGAGGGTATAAAATGAACAATTTATGGTTTACTAATAGACTGTGGTCCTAACATGCAGATCTGCTTATCAGGGGTTTTTTTGTTTTTTGTTTGTTTTTTTTTTTAAGTTCATTTCTTCCATGGGTGAGAAACAGAGAGACAGACAAGATGCCACCAACAGGGACTTCATACCATTATCTACTCCAAGCATAAAGCCAGTCCCAGGTCATGGGCATGCACGTGATCTGTGTTAGGAAGATGTCCAGACATGTATCCAGAACCTTCCCATTTCAGTCAGTGTTAGAGAGTGCTGCATTACCGCTACAGCCCCATTTTTCGATTTTTTATGTCTATAAGGGAAAAAGTCTAAGGAACAATCTTAAAAATGAAGCTAGGGCCCACCCTGTAGCATAGTGGTTAAACACTGTACATTTTGAGCTGGAACCCACATAACGAACTACAGTTCAAATATCAACTCTGGCAACTTGAAAAAAATGCCAAGCATGTGTGCCCCAAATCCTGATGGGATGGAACAATGGAGGAGAAAGCACTGTGGCTTGACTACATTCCTGGTAGGGAGTACTCGCCAGAGAGCACATGCTGTCAGTCTGTCAATCAATAAGAAAGAAAGAGGTAAGGAAAGGAAAAGAGGACAGAGGGAAGGAGAAAAGAAAAGAAAGAAGCTACCCTATTGAATGTCATGGATAGTGTATCCTAATATTAATTGACAAATACATTATTTTTCTAGGACGTGGTATTTATTCCAACATGCTGGGATTCCTTGGTGGTGTCTCCTGGGCAATGCTAGTTGCAAGAACTTGCCAGTTATATCCAAACGCAGCAGCTTCTACTTTAGTTCATAAGTTCTTTTTAGTTTTTTCCAAGTGGTAAGTATTCATATGTGTAACTCTGTCTATTTACTAACTTCAACCTATATGTAAATTTGTCTGGAAATTTAAGAGCTATGCATAGACTTTTTCTGTTGATTTACATTACTTTTTAAATTAAAAGTTTTAAAACATTTCAAATTTGAGGCAATGGTAGGACATCTAGATAACTCTTTTCTTCTAGGGAACTGTAAGTGTAGGCTTTGAACTTGGGAGAATGTTTACCATAGATTCAGCTCTGCAAATTACTAGTCATGTAGAGGTTGTTTAAGGTTTCCTCATCATTTTCCTCATCTCCATAAAATGGAGATGATGATTGTATTAATAGCTAACACATTGATGTGTTAGTATTTTCAGTAAGTGTTAGCTATTGTTATTAAATTATCAGAATTAAATCCATGAGACTAAATGAGAAGGAAAGGAAAGATTCTGATGTAAATTAGTTTCCATTAATGGGTAAAGTAATATTTACCATTTTAGAGAGCACTGCTTTAAAATTAGCAGCCTTCCCCCACCTTTTTTAGAGAGATTTTTGTTATACAGTGTGAGCACTAGCTGTAGAGACAGAGAAAACAAGTTATCACCCCTAGGGGGATGGCCAAGCTGCAGTCCATTCCTCCTCTTTTTTGAGGATTTTGGGCATGCACACACACATGCTCAGCATGAGTTTTAAGCCGCTGGGTCTGTGACTCGAACAATAGCCAACTGAATGGGAATCCAGCCTTTTCCTTTTTATATTTTCCTCCCTCACCCATTTCTTTTCTCTCTCTTTAAAAAATTTGCACAGAGGGCACATGTACTTGCCAGAGGAACAGTGAAAAAGAGGGAAAGA